CAGAAACAGATCAGGAGCACGGCAGAAGAGGCCCCAAGAGCGAAGGAGCACGGCCGTAAAACACCAGGAGCACGGCTGAATAGACCCCAGGAGCTAAGGAGCAGGGCTGAATATGCCCCAAGTGCGAAGGAGCACGGCAGAGAAAGACCAGGAGCACAGCATAATAGACCCCCTCTGCTAAGGAGCACGGCAGAAACATATCAGGAGCACGGCAGAATGGGCCCCAAGAGCGAAGGAGCACGGCGGAACAAGCCCAGGAGCACGGCAGAATAGACCCAAAGAGCTAAGGAGCACGGCGGAATAGGCTCCAAGAACCATGTTGTGAGGATGTCCCTAGCGAAATGCGAATGTCCTGCCGTGCTCGCTTGTTCGGCCTGCTGCGCCCCCCGATGTTCTGAGGATGTCCCGAACGAAATCGCCATTTAAAATATGAGAGGTAGTATCACAGCTTCTCCGACAACCCGGTATTTCGAGGATGTCTCAAGCGAAACGCCATGTTTCCCAGACGGCGAAATGTCGCTGTCATCAGTGTGTCGAGGATGTCTCGAGCGAAACGCTTGATGTTGTGAAACGCGATGTCGCGAAGAGCTCAATGGTGTGAGGTCGTCTCGAGCGAAACCGCTGTTTTGGGGGGACCCGCCAGCGAACGATCCCGTGCAACGCCGCCACTCGTACTATAAGAGATTTCTTATAGATATGAGGAGGGTTCAGCCAAAACGTCCAGCTCGCTTCTCGTACCTCGAAGACGCTCGATTTTGGGAGGATGTCTCGAGCGAAATCGCTGATGTGGGGAAGCCGCCAACGGAAAAACACCGTGCGGCCCGATGCGGCCCGCTACCAGATGCTTAGAGATATTATTACAGATACGCGGCGGATTCAGCCAAAACGTCCAGCTGCCTTCTCGTGCTTCGAAGACGGTTCCCGTCATAAGAGATCTCTTACAGATACGAAGAGGGTTCAGCCAAAACGTCCAGCTCGCTTCTCGCACCTCGAAGACGCTTCCCGTCGTATGGCAGAAAGACAAGATATATCGTCATTTTCGGCAGTCCCCAAGGCGCTGTTGGAGCCATCCTGGGCTCCTTTTGGAGCTCTCATTTCTTCATCGCGAAGCACTTCGAGAACGATGTCGAGGCGATGGTGCGAACGTCTCATTTTTCGAGGATGTCCCCAGCGAAATGATCATGTTCAGCCGTGCTCCTTTTTGTCGGTCTGCCGCGCCCCTCCCGATGTTCTGAGGATGTCCCGAGAGAAATCGCCAATTCAAAAATAAGAGGTAATAAACCTGACCGGTCAAGAACGGGAAGTGTCGCTTTAGTCCACCAAGCATGTGGAACATGTTATGTTGTTGTTACGCCGCGCAGGTATGCCGTGGCGCGCGTGTCGGCGTGCGTGCGGGGTGTGTTAGGCTGTGCTCCTGTGCTCTGCCGTGCTCCTGTGTGTTCTGCCGTGTTTCTGTGTTCTGCCGTGCCTCTGTGTGCCCTGTGTGTTCTGCCGTGCTCCTGTATTCTGCCGTGCGGATCGTCGCGGTGGTCGTGTTGGCAGAGCTTCTGGGCGCGCGCGGCAGAGAAAGATCAGGAGCACCGCAGAATAGGCCCCATGAGCGAAGGAGCACGGCAGAGAAAGACAAGGAGCACGGCAGAGTAGACCCCAAGAGCGAAGGAGTACGGCAGAATACGCCCCAAAAGCTAAGAAGCACAGCAGAAAAATGACCAGGAGCACAGCAGAATAGACCTCAAGAGCGAAGGAGCGGGCAGAAAAAGACCAGGAGCACGGCAGAATAGGCCCCCAAGAGCGAAAGAGCACGGCAGGAAAACACCAGGAGCACGGCAGAATAGACCCCAGGAGCTCAGGACCAGGGCTGAATATGCCTCAAGTGCGAAGGCGCACGGCAGAGAAAGACCAGGAGCACGGCAGGATAGACCCCAAAGCTAAGGAGCACGGCAGAAAATGACCAGGAGCACGGCAGAATAGGCCCCAAGAGCGAAAGAGCACGGCAGAAAAAAAACAGGAGCACGCCAGAGTAGACCCCAAGAGCTGAAGGAGTGCAGGAAAATAGACCCCAAGAGCGAAGGAGCAAACCAGAAAAAGACAAGGAGCACGGCAGATTAGAACCCGAGAGACAAGGAACACGGCAAACTATGTCCCAAGTGCGAATGAGCACGGCAGAAAATTATCCCAGCAAAGCAACCGAACAGCGATGTGTATAAGCATATCTGGAAGCATGTCCCTTAAGATTCAAGCGAAAATCCAGTTGTAGAATTCTGCAGTTTTCGCAGTCGCAGTCGCATTCGCAATGACAGTCGCAGTGGCAACGGTCTTAGGACCCAATGGAATCCTAAGGATTCTTAGGGAATCCTCAGGCATCCTTAGGCATCCTTAGGAATACATAGGAATCCTTAGGAGACCTTAGGAATCCTTAGGAATCCTGATTCCTGGGGATTCCTAGGGATTCCTAAGGATTGCTGGGGAATCCTAAGGATTCCTGAGGATTCCTGAGGATGCTTAACTATGCCTACGGATTCCTAAGGATGCCTACGGATTCCTAGGGATTCCTAGGGATTCCTAAGGATTCCTATGGATTCCTACGGATGCCTCATCCTGCCTCAGCTTCAGCCTCAGCCTCAGCCTCAGCCTGCCTCGGCCTCAGCCTCAGCCTCAGCCTCAGCCTCGGCCTCAGCCTGCCTCGGCCTCAGTCTCAGCCTGCCTCAGCCTCAGCCTCAGTCTGCCTCGGCCTCAGCCTGCGTCAGCCTCAGCCTCAGCCTGCCTCAGCCTCAGCCTGCCTCAGCCTCACCCTCAGCCTTAGCCTCAGCCTGCCTTGGCTTGCCTCAGCCTTAGCCTCAGCCTCAGCCTGCCTCGGCCTCAGCCTGCCTCGGCCTCAGCCTGCCTCAGCCTCCCCGCCTCCCCCCTCCCCCCCTTCCCCCCCCATTCAGCCTCACCTTGTCTCAGCTTCGGCCTGCTTCGGCCTCATCCTCAGCCTCAGCCTCAGTCTCAGCCTCAGCCTGTCTCGGCCTGAGCCTGCCTCGGCCTCAGCCTCAGCCTGCCTCAGCCTCAGCCTGTCTCAGCCTCAGCCTCAGCCTGTCTCAGCCTCAGCCTGCCTCAGCCTGCCTCGCCTTGCCTCGGCCTCAGCCTCAGCCTCAGCCTGCCTCAGCCTCAGCCTGCCTCAGCCTCAGCCTGCGTCAGCCTCAGCCTCAGCCTGTCTCGGCCTCAGCCTGCGTCAGCCTCAGCTTCAGCCTGCCTCAGCGTGCCTCAGCCTCAGCCTCAGCCTGCCTCGGCCTCAGCCTGCCTCGGCCTCAGCCTGCCTCAGCTCGGGCATTGAAAATATGGCACAAGACTGGTGTTCTGGGAGCACGAAGAACACGAAGTGGCCCACAATTGGCTCCGGGCAATCAAAATATGGTACAAGAATTGTGTTATGGGAGCACGAAGAACACGAAGTGGCCTACAGTTGGCTCGGGACATTCAAATTGTGGCCTGGGAATGGTGTTCTGGGAACGCGAAGAACACGAAGTGGTCTACACTTGGCTCCGGGCATTCAAATTGTGGCCTGGGAATGGTGCTTTTGGAAAACGAAGAACACGAAGTGGTCTACAGTTGGCTCCGGGCATTCAAAATGTGGCCTGGGAATGGTGTTCTGGGAGCACGAAGAACACGAAGTGGCCTACAGTTGGCTCCGTGCATTCAAAATGTGGCCTGGGAGTGGTGTTCTGTTGGCTCCGGGCAGCTCCTGGCAATGAAAATGGGGAGTCCCCGGTTTTCCCCGGCATCCCCCGGATCCTGCCCAGACCCCCCTGGCTCTTCTGACCCCACTGGAAACCTATCAGTCTTTGCTGTTAGGAAAAACGAGGAGCACGGCAGAATAGGCCACATCAACGAAGGAGCACGGCAGAAAAAGACCAGGAACACTGCAGAAGAGGCCCCAAGAGCTAAGGAGCACGGCGCAAGCAAACCAGGAGCACGGCACAATAGACCCCAAGAGCTGCCGAGCACGGCAGAAAACAACCAGGAGCACGGCAGAATAGACCCCAAGAGCTAAGGAGCAGGGCAGAAGAGGCCCCAAGTGCGAAGGAGCACGGCAGAAAATGACCAGGAGCACGGCAGAATAGACCTCAAGAGCTAAGGAGCACGGCAGATAAAGACCAGGACCACGGCAGAATAGACCCCAAGAGCTAAGGAGCGCGGCAGTAAAAAGACCAGGAGCACGGCAGAATAGGCCCCATGAGCGAAGGAGCACGGCAGAAAAAAACAGGAGCACGGCGGAATAGACCCCAAGAGCTGAGGAGCACGGCAGAAGAGGCCCCAAGAGCGAAGAAGCACGGCAGAAAATGACCAGGAGCACGGCAGAATAGACCTCAAGAGCTAAGGAGCACGGCAGAAGAGGCCCCAAGAGCGAAGGAGCACGGCAGAAAAATACCAAGGGCACGGCAGAATAGACCTCAAGAGCTAAGGAGCACAGCGGAAGAGAACCGAAGAGCGAAGGAGAACGGCAAAAAAAAACAGGAGCACGGCAGAATAGACCCCAGGAGCTAAGGAGGACGACAGAAGACCAGGAGCGCTGCAGATCAGGCCCGAAGAGCGAAGGAATACGGCAGAAGAAGACCAGAAACACGGCAGAGTATACCCCAACCGCTAAAGAGAACGGCTGATAGACCCCAACAACGAAGGAGCACGGCAGAAATACTAGTTTTCTGCCGTGTTTTGTTTCGTCGGCCGTGCTCCGCCCGATGTTCAAATGTCTGCAGCGAAAACGCATGTTTTACATGAGAGGTAATAAAACCGCCTCTCCAACATATCATTCGTGTGAGGATGTCTCAGGCGATACACCAGTTTCTGAACATATGTCAAATTCGCGGCTTCCCATTTGTTTGGGGATGTCTCTGGCGAAACTCTTATGTTTGATGTAGGATCGACGTTACGAACATATCAATTTGGTGAGGATGTCTCAGGCGAAATCACATGTTGGGGCCGTCTCGAGGGCGATCCTGGGGGTCATATTGGGGCTCCGTTGGGGCCCTTTGGGGCCCTCTTGATGCCCTTATACGACACTGCTCCACACAGGCATAAAACCAATTTGTGAATCATACAGAGTCTACACGAGCTCTTAGTGTCAGCTCGCAAGCGCAGCACGAGCATTCAACTTAATCCGCGTAATTAGAGAGCGAGCGTGTGGGAGCGTTTGCACCTCTCGTCCGGGGATGATGCCCCTGAATGATCGTCGATGCCGAGGATACCCCCGACCGCGTGACCAACATTGCTCAAGTGGCGGACATAGAAATTAAGGTAATCTTCCCCGTCGCGCGTGCGGCCCCACGCCACCTTCAGCTCAACCTTGCCGAACCACCTCCATGGCTGGCGCTGACCACGATGGCTCGCCAAATACCTGAAGCCATTCGTCTGCTGCTTCTTGGCCCACGCACCAGTGATGTTGAGCGCCTTGATGTACATGTCGGTCGCGCAATGTGCACGTCGGTCGCTCCGCACCTCCGCATCCACGCGAAGAAGAGTCTCATCTGGGTCACATCTTTGTGGAATATTGATGAGCACGTGCTCGCCAGTCCGTGCGATGTCAAAGCTCTGACCAAACATGTTCCGCATGTGTGGGTCACCGATGGCGCTGCCGGATGCGTCAAAGAACTGCGTTGGGCTGATCCACTTCTCGGGTGTCCAAGTGGCCCAGCTGAAGGGGTGCCCGCTCAGGGTGTCCGAATTGAATGACTGGATCTTGGCTGCGGCGCGCGCCCTGATCGCGGATGCGGACGCCGCGTCGCAGCCGTACGTCTCGGCCAAGAAGTCGGGCAACTTCGACTCCACGATTTTCCGCCCAAGCGCCAAGCCAGCGCGGTTATCCGTCGCATAGTGAACGCCCGCGAAGGTGCGGAAGAACGCGACAGAGAAGTCCAGCAGCCGCACCTCCTCGCGCTGCGCGGGGGTGAGGATGGCAACGACGTCCAACCACGAGGACAAGCTGGAAGCGGCGGAGTGCATGGCGGGCCAGGCTGGGTGCACAGGGCAGCCCTCGGTGTACGCGGTGAAGTCCTCGGCGCTGTTCACAGGCTTGGCGGCCACGAAGTCGGCCATCATCTGCTTGACGCGCATGGGGGCATCGGGAAGCTCGCCCTGGACGACTCCGTACGCGACCTCCTCGGGTCGCGCGCGACCGACGGCCCACTTGCAAGCGAAGCAGGCGGGCGACACCTCGGCGATCGCCCAACCGATAATCCTTCCCAAAGCCACCGGGCCGTTAACAAACTCGACACGGCTTGTGCAACTGGGCTGGTTGAAGATGTCCGGGTCCAACGTCAGCGACATGTTCTGCAAATTCGCCGGCCCAACGGGCCAGAGGCGTGCTAAGATCTCCGGTAACTACTTAACAATATTTCTAGTTCGCGCGCGCGGGGCGGCCCCTGGGGGGCCCCGGGCGAAAAGTACCCCGGGAAGGTCCCGGGACACTCCCGGCAAACTCAGGTCAGAGATGGTTTTCCTCCTGGGTGCGGCCTTCCACGCTCCCCGGAGCGCTCCAAGAGGGCCCCAACAAAAATCCAAGACGGTCCAAGAGGGTTCCGAATCACCGAACGATCGGCCCAAGACGCCCAACACGGCCTCAAGACGACCCAAGAAGCTTCCAAGACGTCCCAAGAGAGCCCCGACCCTTTCCAAGAGAGCCCCAAGAGGCCAAAATCATTGATTCCCATTGGGTTTTTCAAGGTTTTTGGCTTCCTCGCCTTTTCGCGTTTCCGACGCTCCAAGACGGCCCAAAAAGCCTCCAAGACCACCCCAACACGGCCCAAGAGGCCTTCAAGAGAGCCCCAAGACTGCAAATGAGGGCCCCACGACAGCCCAAGAGGCGCCCAAGACGATCCAAGAGCACCCCAAGAGGGGCCCAACATGAAGACCACGAACCGAAAATCCGAGCCTTCCGCTCCAAGAGGCCTCATGGAGGCTTCGAGAGGCCCCCAAGAGGCCCCAAAAGGCGACAAGGGGCCCCGAAAGAGACCCCAAGAAGCTCGACAACGACTCCCGAGTCACCAAGAAGCCCCCGAGAGGCATCCAACGAGATCCCAATGAACGTCCACGAAGCCTCAGAGCGCCAAAACCATTGATTTCCATTGGGTTTTTCAAGGTTTTTGGCTTCCTCGCCTTTCGCGTTTCCGACGTTCCAAGACGGCCCAAGAAGCTTCCAAGACCACCCCAAGACGGCCCAAGAGGCCTCCAAGAGAGGCCCACGACCGTCCAAGAGAGCCCCACGACAGCCCAAGAGGCGCCCACGACGGTCCAAAAGGACCCCAAGAAGAGAGGCCCAAAATGGAGACCACGAACCGAAAATCCGAGCCTTCCGCTCCAAGAGGCCTCCTGGACGCCCCAAGAGGCTCCTAAGAGGCCCCAACAAGCGACAAGGGGCCCAAAAGAGAACCCAAGAGGCTCGAAAACGACCCCCGAGAGTCTCCAAGAACATCCTCGAGAGGCACCCCACGAGATCCCAATGAACGTCCACGAAGCCTCATAGCGCCAAAACCATTGATGTTTTTGTTTTGCAGGGTCGCTTGCCTCCTCGCCTTTTCCCGTTTCCGACGCTCCAGGACGGCCCAAGAAGCCTCCACGACCACCCCAAGACGGCCCAAGATGCCTCCAGGAGAGCCCCAAGACCGCCCAAGAGGGCCCCACGACAGCCCAAGAGGCGCCCAAGACGATCCAAGAAGACCCCAAGAGGGCCCCAAGAGGGGCCAGAGATGGAGACAACGAACCGAAAAACCGAGCCTTCCGCTCCAAGAGGCCCCAAGAGGCTCGACAACCACTCCCGAGTCCCCAAGAACCCCTCGAGAGGCATCCAACGAGATCCCAATGAACGTCCATGAAGCCTCAGAGCCACCACCCAGACACGGTGGCGAATATGCCGAAGGTAACTAGATAAAAACAGCCGCCGTCCCTGCAGCTCCGCACCGCCAGGCCTCCCAAGAGGCCCCCCAAGAGACCCCAAGAAACCTCCCAAAGAGGCGTCATCTTCACAACCACGCTTGTCCCTGAACACCTCCCCACGTCTCCCGTCCTTCTCCTCCTTCCTTCCTCCTCTCTCCTCATTATGCTTTTCCCTCTCCTCCTCCATCTCCCTGAGCGCACCCCTCACACGCTTCGTAGTCTTACAAGCAGCTCCACCGCATGCCCCAGGCGACGCAGACTCACAAGGGACCTCGCCTCGATTCGGTACACCCCTGACGAGGATCATGGCACACAGGGGGCCTCGCCTCGATTCGGTACACCCCTGACGAGGATCATGGCACACAGGGGGCTCCATCGAAGACCCCAGGGGCCGCGGTCACGTGGAAGGCCCCGCTCGGAGCTGCACCAACAAACTCCAAGGCCCGCGGCCACAGAGCGGCCACCGCCTCAGTTCAGCACGCACCTGACGGGGATCGTGGCCCCACAAGGAATTTGCCGCCAGCCACATAGAAGGCCCCGCCCGGAGCTGCACCAACAAGCCCCAAGGCCCGCGGACACAGAGCGGCCACCGACTCCGTTCGGCACACACCTGACGGGGATCGTGGCCCCACAGGGAACTCCAATGGAATCCCCTGGGCCCGCGGTCAGACAAGGGGCCCCGCCTCGATACAGCACTCCTTTCACGGGGACCGTGGCCATACTATAGCAAGCTCCACTCAAGTCCCCATGGCCCGCGTTCACATCAGCCACAGTTTCGCACAGCCCTTCGCAAAGTCGTACCTCTCCTCCTTCCTCCCTCTTCCACTGCTCCTCTACTCCCTCCGCCTCCTCCTCCCCCTCCTCCTCCACCTCCTCCTCCTCTCCCCCCTCCTCCTCCTCCTCTGCCACTCGCCTTTGCCGCGCTCGCGCTTCTACCCTGCTACCCCCACAACCCCGCCCCCCCGTTCACACACGACGACACACAGCAGCGGAGGGATGAAGTAGAGAAGAAAAGGAAACCGAAAAATGTTGTCTTGTTCCCTGCGATCGTATTCACGAGCCGCCACCTTCCGAAACATAAGGTTCAGGCGGGCAAAGAATGGCTCCCGCCTGCGAAATCACCCAAAGCCAGCCATCCATAAACAAAAAACTACCCAGCAGCACCCCATTGACAACGATCCCACGGGCACTCGACAGCCGTGCACCAATACGGGCCGGCGGAATGAGCGAAGCGAAAAAATAATCCATGACCTGCTCCGTCGGAAAGAACGGGGGGAAGTCAGCTCGGACGCGCTGGGCAGACTGCTCCATAGTATCCCCGTCGAAGAGTGGATGCACAGACATGATCTCTTCTGTTCTGCGGTTTTGAATCCTCAGAAGCTGGGCTGCCGCCACCTCCTCGAACTCCGCCCAAAATCTACTCTTGTCGGCGGCGTCTGCGTCGTCCGCGTGCGTCGGCTTGAGTGCAACATTCGCGTCGAAACCCAAGTCGGCAGCGACTTGTGCAAACGAAACGTTCGCGCCCAAAAAGGACACAGCAGCCTGGACCTGGTCGTTACCGTGAAACCCGCGGACGCTGACGGCGGCAGTCTCCCTCAAGCTGTCGGAGGCTCCACCGCTCCGCGGGTAACATGCGCCTTCAGCAGCTTTTCCAAAACGATACTCGGTGCACCCGTCGTTGCCCGCCAGCGCCTTCCGTTGGGCGGTTCTCGGGCTGCCGTGGGATCCTCCGGCCCACAGCGCCACAGACGGCTTCGCGCTAGCCGCAGTCGTATCTGTGGAAGACAGGGATGCTCCGCTCTGGCTCTTGGGCAGGACGCGATCCGCTTGTCGGCGTCGGAGCGAGGAGTAGTATGCGGAGGGGCGAATCCAATGATCGGGCGTCCAAGTTGCCCAATCCAGAACCTCCAGCGACGCAATCTTGGTCTGCACGTGCGCCCTGATCGTGGCCTTGCTGGCGGCGTCGCAGCCGTTCTTCTCCGAGAGGTAGTCCGGCAACTTCTCCCTCACGATCTTCTGGCCGAGCGCCAGGCCGGCACGGTTGTCAGAATCGTAGTGAACGCCTGCGAACGTGCGGAAGTAAGCAACAGAGTAATCCAGGAGTCGCACCTCATTGCGCTGCGCTGGGGTCAGGAGGGCCACGACGTCAAGCCAAGTCGACAGAGAGGAGGCCGCCGAATGCATAGCCGGCCAAGCTGGGTGCACGGGGCACCCTTCTGAATAGGCGGTGAAAGACTCGCGCGTGGTCAAGCCCATGCCGTCCACCATCGCCCTGACGTTGGCCGGGGCCTGGCTCAACCCCCCCTGGCTGAGGTTGTACGCAACCTCCTCGGGCCGCGCGCGGCCGACGTACCACTTGCACCCGAAGGCGGCGGGCGACACCTCTGCGATCGCCCAGCCGATAATCCTCCCCAGAGCAACTGGGCCGTTCACAAACTCGACCGTGCTCGCGCAACTGGCCTGTCCGAAGATTTCCGGGTCCATTGTGAGCGCCATGCTGCCCAAGTAGCTCATGATCTGCTCCGTAGGAAACTGCGTGGGGAAGTCCGCACGGACGCGCTGGGCGGACTGCTCCATTGTGTCCCCGGCGAAGAGCGGATGCACGGACATGATATCGCGAGTGAGGGCCCCGTTCCTCCTCAGAAGTTGGGCCGTCACCACATCCTCGAACTCATTCCAGAAGCTGGCCTGGTCTGCTGCGTCCTCGTCGTCCGCGTGCGTCGGCCTGTACGCGGCGTTCGTGTCGAAGGCCAGATCCGCCGCAAGGTGCCCAAACGAAGCGTTATCTCCCAAGTAGGACACTGCGCGCTGGACCTGGTCGTTTTCGAAGCCACGAACGCTGACGGCGGCGGTGTCAGCGAGGCTGTCAGAAGCTCCGCCATCCCTTGGATAGCACGCAGACGGGGCAGCCTTGGCGAATCGGAACGCGCTGCAACTATCGGTGGCCTCATGGCGCGAGAGAAAGAGAACCTGTAAAAGTTGTATGTCCTGCGCACTGACGTTGTCGCCTTGCTGGGCGCGACCTTCCCACAATACTTGGCCGCACACATAACAATTCAGCACGTTATGGATCAGGAATGCGAGGTGGCGTCCGCGCATGATGGAAGGCGTGTGGGTCATCGTCGCCGCAGCGCCTGCCGCTAGGGACAATCGATTGTACGCGTGTGCAGTTGTGACCAAAAATGGCTTGAGCCAAAGTGATGCCCCCGAGTAGCGTCAGCTTCGTGTTACCAAAGCCAGAAATCTGCAGTTACGTACGGTTGGTGTGCCAAATACAAAATTGCGCCAGGCTCGCGCTCCCGAGGCCAGAATCCCTCGTAATATATATATATATATATATATATATATATACATACACGGAATTCGCGCTCCCACGGCGAGAACCCAATTGAAATACGCTGGATCTGCGCCCCCGAAGCCAGATCCCGTCCTAATGTACGCCGCACTCGCCCCCCCGACGCCAAACTCAACTCCTTGCAATTTGACTCAGATTCGAGTCCCGATTTAAGGATGCTAGAATTGCGTTCCAACGGCCACAATCCAGCGTAAACTACGACAGATTCGCGCTCCCGAAGCCAGAACTCCACATATAAGTGACGCCAGATTCGCGCTCCCGTGGCCAGACGCCCTCCCTGTACTACGCGCCCAACTCGCGCCCCCGAGCCTGGCACCCTGCATAGATTACACCCGGGTCCTGCTCCCGAGGCCGGAATCCCACGTAAGAAGTGCCCGTGTCGTACCCCCGAAGCCAAAACACCTCGCAAACTACTCCAGATTCGCGCTCCCTGGACAATTCGCCGGCCCAACGGGCCAGAGGCGTGCTCAGATCTCCGGTATACTTCGCGCGCGCGGAGCGGCCCCTGGGGGTCCCTGGCCAGAAAATATCCCGGCAAGGTCCCGGGACACTCCGGGCAAACTCAGGTCAGAGATGGTTTTCCTCCTGGGTGCGGCCTTCCACGCTTCCCGGAGCGCGCCAAGAGGGGCCCAACAGGCTTCCAAGACAGTCCAAGAGGGTTCCGAATCACCGAACGATCGGCCCAAGACGCCCAACACGGCCTCAAGACGGCCCAAGAAGCTTCCAAGACGTCCCAAGAGAGCCCCGACCCTTTCCAAGAGAGCCCCAAGAGGCCAAAATCATTGATTCCCATTGGGTTTTTCAAGGTTTTTGGCTTCCTCGCCTTTTCGCGTTTCCGACGCTCCAAGACGGCCCAAGAAGCCTCCAAGACCACCCCAAGACGGCCCAAGAGGCCTCCAAGAGAGCCCAAAGACCACCAAAGAAGGTCCCACGACAGCCCAAGAGGCGCCCAAGACGGTCCAAGAGGACCCCGAGAGGGCCCCAAAAGGGGCCCAACATGGACACCACGAACCGAGAATCCGAGCCTTCCGCTCCAAGAGGCCTCCTGGAGGCTCCAAGAAGCCCCCAAGAGGCCCCAAAAGGCGACAAGGGGCCCGAACGAGACCCCAAGAGGCTCGACAACGACTCCCGAGTCTCCGAGAAGCCCTCGAGAGGCATCCAACGAGATCCCAATGAACGTCCACGAAGCCTCAGAGCGCCAAAACCATTGATTTCCATTGGGTTTTTCAAGGTTTTTGGCTTCCTCGCCTTTTCGCCTTTCCGACGCTCCGAGACGGCCCAAGAAGCTTCCAAGACCACCCCAAGACGGCCCAAGAAACCTCCAAGAGAGCCCCGAGACCGCCCAAGAGAGCCCCACGACAGCCCAAGAGGCGCCCAAGACGGTCCAAAAGGACCCCAAGAGGGCCCTAAGAGGGGCCCAAGATGGAGACCACGAACCGAAAATCCGAGCCTTCCGCTCCAAGAGGCCTCCTGGACGCCTCAAGAGGCCCCAACAAGCGACAAGGGGCCCGAAAGAGACCCCAAGAGGCTCGACAACGACTCCCGAGAGTCTCCAAGAAGCCCTCGAGAGGCATCCAACGAGATCCCAATGAACGTCCACGAAGCCTCAGAGCGCCAAAACCATTGATTTCCTTTAGGTTTTGCAAGGTTGTTTGCCTCCTCGCCTTTTCGCCTCTCCGACGCTCCAAGACTGCCGAAGACGCCTCCAAGACCACGCCAAGACTGCCCAAGAGGCCTCCAAGAGAGCCCCAAGACCGCCCAAGAGGCCCCCACGACAGCCCAAGAGGCGCCCAAGACGGTCCAAGAGGACCCCAAAAAGGGCCCAAGAGGGGCCCAACATGGAGACAAAAAGCCTCCATGACCACCCCAAAACGGCCCAAGAAACCTCCAAGAGAGCCCCGAGACCGCCCAAGAGAGCCCCACGACAGCCCAAGAGGCGCCCAAGACGGCCCAAAAGGACCCCAAGAGGGCCCTAAGAGGGGCCCAAGATGGAGACCACGAACCGAAAATCCGAGCCTTCCGCTCCAAGAGGCTTCCTGGACGCCCCAAGAAGCTCCTAAGAGACCCGAAAGAGACTCCAAGAGGCTCGAAAACGACTCCCGAGAGTCCCCAAGAAGCTCTCGAGAGGCATCCCACGAGATCCCAATGAACGTCCACGAAGCCTCAGAGCCCCCACCCAGGCACGGTGGCGAATGTGACGAAGGTAATACAGAAAAACAGCTGCCGACCCTGCAGCTCCGCACCGCTCCAAGAGGCCTCCTGGACGCCCCAAAAGAGCCCCAAGAGGCTCGAAAACGAGTCCCGAGGCGCGCGAGCCCCGGCCAGGCCGCCGCGCAGCTTGAGCCGCGCGGCGGCCGAAAAGCAAAGGAGAGAGAGAGAGAGAGAGAGAAAGTCCTCCACCTTCTCAATGGCATAATCCTAATGTTCACCCTCCACCTGATCCTCCCCGCCCTCACACTCTTTGTGATTCTCGCCGTCGTACCTCTCCTCTTTCCTCCTTCTTCCACTGCTCCTCTACACCCTCCGCCTCCTCCTCCCCCTCCTCCTCCACCTCCTCCCCCTCTCCCCCCTCCTCCTCCTCCTCCTCTGCCATTGGCCTTTTCCACGCTCGTGGTTCGACCCTGCTACCCCCAGAACCCCGCCCCCCCTCACGAACGACGACACAAAGCAGCGGAGGGATGAAGTAGAGAGGAAAACGAAACTGCATAATGTTGCCCTGTTCCCTGCGATCGTATGCACGATCCACCACCTTTCGAAACAGAAGGTTCAAGCGGGCAAAGAATGGCTCCCGCCTGCGAAATCACCGAAAACCAGCTATCCATAATAAACAAAAAACGACCCAGCAACACCCCATCGACAACGATCACACGGGCACTCGACAGCCGTGCACCAATACGGGCCGGCGGAATGAGCGAAGCGATTACAGAATCCCGAATAAAATGCGCCAGATTCGCGCCCCCGAAGCCATGCCCCCTGGCGAGTTACACCAGATTCGCGCTCGAGGCCATATCTGTCGTAAACTACGCCAGCCCGTAATTTGCACCAGATTCGCGCTCCCGAAACCGCATTGTACATTGCTCGAGATTCGTGCCCCCTGTCGTACCGAAGGCCCGCATATGCACAATATGGGGAGAAAGGTCTAAATACGTAACCGGGTGTTCAGTAATCCGTCACCGTGCCTCTGGGCAGGGAGTGGGCGCGTCCTCAAGTCATGTGCCACATACGCCGAGCCTCAGTCCCCAGTGTTGAAATCTCTTTTAAGTGCCCGGGACAAAAAAAAAACCCACCAGCCTTCTGGGCGTCGGTGGTTTCGAGCGTTTCCTCCTCCACAAATCGTTATTCCCCATCGGGAAAGGGTTCGCCCCTCCCCCTTACCCCCTCCCCTGGACCTGGACGGGGGGCGCCGCGAGGTGTCACAGGGTAGTTTTCGCCCAAGTTGGCTCCAAGAGGGCCTCGAAAAACCCCAGATGGTATCCATTTCGCAAGATGGCGCAAGATGCTTCGATATAAATCCCAAGAGACGCTCCAAGACCGCAACAAGACGGCTCCAAGTGGCCAAAAAAGCCCCCCGAGGATGTCCCCAACAGGCCAACATGCTTCAAAACCTGAAGGCAAATCAATGTGTTTGGCGTTCTCGCTTTTGCGCTTCCAATGCCTATTTGAAGCCTCAACCTAGCTCCAACATGTCCCAAGATGTCCCCTACAGGGGCCCAAGAGAGACCCAAACCAGCCCCAAGAGCGCCTAAGAGCGCCCCAAGAGCGCTCCAAAAGGCGACTTGGGGGGCTCCCCAAGGGGCAGCGCCATTTGTGACCTCCCCCTTCGGGGCCCAAGAGAGCCCCAAGATGGCCCAAACAGCGCCCAAGAGCGCTCCAAGAGCGCGCCAAGAGAGCCCAATCAAGAAGCCATGTTCGGTGCTCCCGCAGGGGGGCCCTAATTGGGGACCCCCTTTTTTTTGATCGATCTTCTCCAAGATGGCCCCAAAAGCGCCCCCGAGGTTCCCGAGGGCGCCCCAAGAAGGGCCCAAAAATGCGCCCGGACGGCCCCGAGAGGCACCCAGACGGTTCCAAGAGGCCTCCAGAAGACTCCCACGAGGCCCCCCGAAGGCCCCCAAGAGGCCCTTAGAGGATCCCCAAGGCACCCAAGTTCACTATTGTTCCCCGCGCTGCTTGACTATATGTTTCTTCCTTTGTCCCCCGTCAGCTCCCATGGGCATCGTTTCTGGATGGGCTGGTGGGGGTGCTCTTCTTTGATCGCGACCGTCGCGACACATCGCACGGCGTCAAGTCAACGAGCAGCGGGCTAAATTAGGGCCTAAGCAACAGGAGCGGTCTACGCTTCCACTCAAGAGGCGAAGCTGACGCTGACGAACAGGTGGTTCACGCTGAAGCCGACGAAGGCCAGGATGACCTCGATGCACACCAAGACGGCAGATGAATTAGAACGCGAACAGGTCCAGGAAAAGGACCGAGCAGGTCAGGCGACGCGCAAGTGCTCGGCGACCACGGGAAAGCGAATGGACGGCAAGGCGGAACCGCAGCGGGGGTCGTCAGCCAGGTCAGCGACCCATCGCGGGCGGCAGAGCGCGGTGCCACAAGCCACCTCTCACGCGAGGGAGGGGCGCGTCAGGCGCGGTGGGGGCGCGGGGCCCGGCGACGAGGGAGGCGCCCACCAGCCAATGCGCGCCCCATCGGCGAGGCAGCCTGGCAGAGCGAACGGTGCGCCCCGGAACGAACGGTAGCCCCAGGCAGAGGCGCGGGCACTAAGTCGGGCGAAGGCGACGGCGCGGGGGGCCAGTCCAGTCCGGCGGGGCCGCCGGCACCGGCCCCAGCGCCCCAGGGAAGGCGTCGCGGACCGGGGGGGCGCGCCAGCGGAGGCGGGGAACGGCGGGGGGCGGCGCGCCACGGCCGCGC